ATGGTTTAGTAGGTGCAGGATACCAGGCTCTTCCTTTTTAATATTATTATTTGTTGCAGTGTTCATGACTGACTATTGCATTTTAGATTTTTGTGCGGATTTGTTTTGTTGAATGGATATGATGCTTGGAGCCTCTGTGCAGAGGATGACTTTTTAATTTGTGTTTTGCTTTCTTAGCGTTCATATTTAGCCGACATGTCTAGTGAAATGTATTTGTGCATCAGAAAGAGATCTTGATTAAAGCAGTATAACAGCAGTATGCCTGTGTAAAGCTTATGTGTGTTATAGACCATTAGTTAATCTACAGCTTTATGACATAAAGAAACCGAGAAATACTCAACCATCAATAATCCAGCAAAATCCTTTATATTGTTATTGTTCTGATGAACTTAGAACAAAGGAACAGATTTTTATTTAAAGCTTCCCTTTCACAATAGCAATGACAATGTTTCTTATGTAAGATTGCCTGATATAATTATCAGGAATCTTTTGAATGAAAAACAATATAAAAATGTTGATGAGTAGATTTGTAAAAACGTAATTGACATTTTTAATGCTTGAATTTTAGCATTAAGAAATAAATCATAGGTTAAATTTATCTATCATAGAAGTGAAAATACAAGATGGGCGATACAAATCCAGCACAAATTAGCATGAGAGCAACTTCAGATTTCTCCCGTTAGCACATGAGCCTTGCTACAACGGACTGGTAGCACTAACAGCTGCTTCAGTTTTTTTTGTTTTTTTTAACACCTTCAAACACTTAAAACATTTTTGCTTGTTTTTTGTACATTTTTATTTTAACCAGATTACATTTACCTCCAGTCATGGCTCCAAGGAATATAAGAATTGCTTCTCGTGGTTTGAAGCACATACATCGTACATTGTTCATAACAGATAAAGTAGAATTTCTGGAAAAAATTTGACAGCAGTATAAAGCTGTGTAAAGCTTGTGTGATTTATACAGCATTGGTTTATCTACAGCTTATGACATGAAAAAATCAGAAATATTGCTCAATCATCAGTAATCCAGCAAAAACATTTATTTTCTGATGAACTTTCCTCTATGGTACCTAGACTTTATGAATTTAAGCATACTACTAGATTATCTCAGCATTTTACAGGTGAAATGTCTAGATGTAACCATAAGTTCTAAGCTAACAGTTTCTTTTCTCACAGTTCTCATTGATGGAAATCTCATCTGGCTTCTTGTTTTCCATTCAACTTTGATCTTCAAAAATTTAAATGCAATGTCAATCATTATCTTAATTCCTGTTCCCATTTAGACATCACTTCCTGTACAATCATCAAAGTTAAGCAATGTCAAGCCTGGTCAGCAGCTAGATAGGTAACCACTTGGGAATGCCAGGTACTGTAAACTTGGATGTGCGGTAGTGTAGTCGATAATGGTAGTGTAGTCGATAATGGTAGTGTAGTCGATAATGGTAGTGTAGTCGATAATAGTGTAGTCGATAATAGTGTAGTCGATAATGACTCAAAATTGTTAATTGGAGGGCTGAGTTCCAATTCCTGTTGAGTTAGTTATATTCCCTTACGTGCAAATACACTTAAGAAAGTTATGAATCCACCTCTTCTCCCTACAGCTATGGGTTAATTAGTAAGACCTGTCTCAATAAACTGTTATCAAAAAATTCTTAAAATATAAATATATTTTGGGCTTTAAATAAACTGAAAGATTAGATAAGCCATAGAAAACAAATCAATCATTAATTACTGTTCCTTTATTGTTCTCTCTCAATAATATATTCCTTTTTCTCATATTTTCTCACACTCAGTAACCCCTTTGCATCTTAGTGGCTTTATTGCCTTGCCTGGATTGAAATGCATGTCATATTAATGACGGTCAATGTGTAAACTGTTTTCATTTTGCTGTTTCCATATTACATTTTATTTGTTTCAAATAAAAACAACCTCTTCATTATCTATCTATCTATCTATCTATCTATCTATCTATCTATCTATCTATCTATCAGTTTGTTCATATCTATTTATCAGTCTTTCTCCATCTGACCATTTTGTTTAAAGTTCATGTTTTCTTTATTTCACCTGGAAATCTGGAAAATTTCCAAATTATTTCTGTAAAACTTTCACTTCAAAATGATAGTTTATAGTTTAGATATATGGGAAAAAAATTTAAACTGATGCCAAGAGAATATAGAACCACATTTCAGAGATTGAGGTTGTAAGATAATTGGCAAGTTGGCAAAATGTTTTATTGAAATACAGTTGTTTTTGAACAGCAACTGATTTGCATGAGCAAGTTTCTTTTCACTTGTAGTTGTTATTTGGTTCTTTATTGACTTGTATGCATACAAGGCAACTCTCATTCAAGTTTTCTATCAACTAGCCAATGATTACCCCACATTGCATCTTGATTCTTGATCTCATCAGTGAGCACTGAAAACTGGGCAAGGGCTCACTGCATGCTCACAATGTAACAAGATGAAAGACAAATGCTGCATCAAGTAATAATACAAGCCCTATTTCTCATATGTTATGGTCTGGTTCCTTGTACCACGGTGATAGTCCAAGGTAGAACCAATAAAGAAGAACTCGAACAGGGATATGGAATAACACAGATATATTACAAACAGGAATATATACAGAGAAATAGAAAGTGTTAGTACGAACAATCTGGTTTAGTAGGGAGAACAATGTAGTCTCGACCAGTATCACTATTCCAATGTCTTGTAGTAATTGTCTGAACGCGACTCTGTTTTGGACTGCCTCTGACTCGACTGACTGACTGACTCGCTCGCTCTGACTGACAGACTCCTGACGGACCTCACTCCAGACTTCAGACTGAACTCTCTGCTTCCTCTTGAGTCACATTATTTATTACGTATGGAATAGTCCATTATGTTACTATGGGTAAGGTCCCATAACACCACATTATAAAACAGATGTTTTATTCAGAGCTTCACCTCCTCGCCTGGGTTGGTAGGTAGGTGGCACTGGACAACATTTACTATGTGGATCTTTTACCCTAACTCCTCACCCATCTACTTATCTCTCTGTGGTGGCTGGCAATATGAATGAACATCATTGGAATCACATGATGCACAAGTTCATCTCCTGTCAAGGGCAGACCAGAATTGTCTCCGATTCCAAGCTTAACTGTTAATATAAACCAGCACCTGGATATACTCTATTTCTGGTTTTGTTGTCACTTAATCACCAAAAACCTCTTATACACTTCTTTACTTCCCTCTTTCCCTTCAGTCAAAGTGGATGCTTTTTAGAAAACTCCGAAAAGAACCAGCTGATGGCTGTTAAACAGAAACATTTGACACTATTTAGATTATTCAAACATCTTTGTTGCAATATTTATCACAACGTTTCAGGCGTTGTACACTCTGACCTTTGTCAGGTGGTTGGAATGTCGAACTGAACTCTTTATTTCACTCACTGGGGTAGACTGTTCTAGTTCCACGTGCCATGTTTAATGGATGTCATCAGTTATCTCCTGTTAATTCATCTCTCCAAGTTCTCCACTGCCTTAACCAGGTATTGAACTCACAGCTTTTTGGGTCCTGTCACTGGATCTAACCAACATCTTTATCCACTGTGCTGTAGACATGGCATGTGGAACTAGAACAGTCTACCCCAGTGAGCAAAATAAAGGGTTCATTTCGACATTCCAACCACCTGATGGCTGAAACGTTGTGATAAATATGGCAACAAATATGAGGACAATAGTCCAAATAATTTAAATAGTGTACATAATACTTCATCTCAGAAATATAGACAGGTAAAGAAACATTCGAGATCAAGATAAAACCACATCTTCCTTTCCGACATGAGTGTCCATATTATCACAGAATAATTATTATGTAAATGGAATAATGGGGAATAAATGTAAATATACAACAGATGATTCAGGAGAAAATTTTTAAACAAGCCAAGAATACAAATAAATTTTGTTGTTTTTCAAATTCATTTCAATAAAAAATTTTCATGTGCCTAACATTCAAACGTATTATTGTTGTCCCAAAACCATTTTAATCTTTTTCCAGCAATTGGATATTGAAATTTTTTCTCTCATGATTTCTGTTTTTTATCATTATTATTACTATTATTATTTTTAGCTCTGCATAAAATATCTTTCTAACTTACTCATAAAAAAAGAGTGTAAATTATAAAAAATTATTTCTGTTCCTTCCTCTTTCCAAGGCAAATTCAAGTTCTAGTCAAATTCATTACATTCACTTCTGCAGAAATACCACTGGGAAAGGTATGACTCCAGCTATGGGTTAAATAGTAGGACTTGAAAATAGTAAGACTGGAAAAATTATTGTTATCTCTAAAATAAAATTATAAATATAATGTTAACTCACAAAAAAAAAAGAATTCTTACAATCCAAAATATGTTTCAGGTTGAAATAACCTACAAAGTGTTGATAAGTCATAAAAGCAAATTAATCAATAAATCCTCTTTCCAGAAGCATTGCATATGATTCATTGATTTATTTTTTTTTTATGGCTTATCAACCCTTTGCAGGTTATTTAAAGTCAGAAAATATTTTTTGATTGTAAAAATTTTTAGGAGATAATAATGGTTTTACTGATGAAAGTCCTACTAATTAAGCCATAACTGTTAGAAGAAGCAGTTGATTCATACCTTTTCCAAAAATAATTTTGTGTAGCTGAATATATTAAACTCAAATAGGAATTTGAACTTGGCTTGCTAATTTCAAAGCCATTATCCATTACAACACCTGCACATCCAAGATTACCACACCTGGTATTCCCAAACGGTCACCCATCGATGTACTGATGTTGCTTAACTTTGGTGATTGGATGAGAACCAGTGTTTCAATGTGATAATGCCATCAGATGTTACATACAAGCTTACAGCACCTGGTCTTCCTAAATGGTCACCCATCTAGGTACTGGCTAGGCTCGATGTTGCTTAACTTTGGTGATTGTAAGAGAACCAGTGGTTTGATGTGATAATGCCATCAGACATTACATCTAAGCATACAGCACCTGGTCTTCCTAAGTGGTCCCCCATCTAGGTACTGGCTAGGCTCGATGTTGCTTAACTTGGGTGATTGTATGAGAAACGGTGTTTCAATGTAATATGGCTGTAAGCCAAAAGCATTGCAGTATCAGAAGAAATGGAAATTAGCAAAATATTAAATAATCTATCATAACATTTTTTTTCTAACAACTGCATAAAATATCTTCTCACTCTGATAATACTAAAAGATTAATTTTATATAAAAAAATATTTACTAATTTTCTTTTCTCTTCCCATGTACAGGGTTGGAACAAAAGTTTATAGCATTTTGCAGTAGGTGATGCTTGAACACAATTTTGTTTCGCACATGACAGAAATTTTTGACCGATATACATATTCTGAAAGGTGACCTTTCATTTATGTGTTATTGACAAGCGTATGGTTGCAAGAAAGAAATACGACAACAGCAGAAATAGATTTACGTAATTTATTTCAATAGGAATGTGTGGTTTTGGGACAGCTACCTTGTGGTATAGTTCATAATCCGGCTTCCGATCTGGGTTGATCTCTCATAGAAGTTCTCACTGGTTGGCATGGTGCTCCTCCTGCTGACTGCCCAGACTGACCATGACAGATCTCTTCGCTGGCCTCCTGTTGACTGCCCTCGTACTTCCCCGTGTGACCCCTTTTATGGCGTTTTTTTTTTATGGCTTAACAGGCTCGAAAAACGCCGCAAGTATAATTAGGAGGGAAGCATTTTTATTGGTCGAAAAATAGAAACACTTTAAAATATTATTTTATTTTTCGACCGGAACTCGTGCATCGGGCTTATGCGTAAATGATGATAATGGTCATTTTGTGACGGGGCCTTGTCTCGTTCACATCCGGCTCTCGCTCTTGAGTATGTTAGTTTATTTGCCTGCAAATCGGCCGAGATATGTCTTATTTTATTTTATAACATATGCATGGACTGTGAATTTTAAATATTTTTATGCTAAAAGTGAAAATGGAGAAAAATAAAATGCATTTTCATCTTCTGGTGTTCTTTTACTTTCAGAAAGGAAAAAAAAACACTGTACAATCAGCAAAAAAAGATATCATATATTTTGTGCATAAATTATGAGGTGGTGCAAAATTTGAAAACCTTTTTCTCCTTTGACTTACAAAGCAACAAGGCACATTTCACTTGTGCCAAGAGACATGAAGCATGTAAGTACTTCAAAAACACCTAGTGAAGTTGGCTTTGAACTCTTCATAAATAATTTTGTTTTTTATTTTATCCTTCTGTAACATGTCTGGTTATTTATTTATTAATTCTTGTTTGTTTGAATTCCATGTTTTGTCTCTTACTTTACCCAGACTTGCACAAGTTCACCAAATATTGTTTGCAGAACAAATTTACCTGGAGGTATAAAATGAATAACTTCCATTCCTGCAACACACTTATAATATTTCTCAATTGCTACTATTTTTCAGTTTTCTACACAATGTGGGCAATGAAACTTGAAAGATGAATACCATGTTTTCTTATTCATAATATGAATAGTTTTGAGCAAAAGAGGTGGGGTTGTATTATACACAAGTACACTTTTCTGAAATTTTTACTCAACTTAAAAAACCCCTCTTATTTCAAACAGCAAGATTACAAATATACTTCTCACAATAGATAATAAAATACAAAGTATATGTCGACAATATTTATGTTTCTTCTTAAAGAAAGATACTATTTTCAACTTTTCATAGTTTATTAATATATAAAAATATAAAGTTATACCAAATAGAAAAGATACTATTTTCAACTTTTCATAGTTTATTAATATATAAAAATATAAAGTTATACCAAATAGAAAAGATACTATTTTCAACTTTTCATAGTTTATTAATATATAAAAATATAAAGTTATACCAAATAGAAAAGTATGATAGATTAATTAACACCTTAAAATGTATTATTGGATATGTCTAATTAGCATCTTTCCCTGAAAATAACTTTAGAAACAGAAATTAGAAGAAACATGCAATAGCTGAACATCCAGTTCATTTCTGTTCTTTAATATCATGGATATTGGCTCGTAATGAGAACTCGGAGATCTGAGTTTAAATTCCAGTCAAGTTTGTTAGATTCACTTATGCATAAATACTCTTGGGAAAGGTATGAATCCATCTCTTATCCCCCCCAGCTATGGGTTGAATAGCAGGACAGACTGGGTTCTTTAACCTTGGTTGGCAACCACTCTACCACAGAAAGAAATGGTAACCTATTGCAAGAAAAATCTTCCGTTTCGTCAGTCATGTATTGAAAGATACATGAATTCCCAAGTGTGTATCATGTGTGACACTTAACTGACTGAATATCATGAACATTAAATATTTTAGTGAAAACTATGTTAGACATTGAGATTTTAATGGATATGGTACAACTTTTTTTTTAAATTTAGAGATGGCTGTACTACAGGTTGTATTAATGGATGTAATTTATTCCCTGTTTTTAGCTTCAGAAACACGGGATCATATAATACACAAGTTGTATTAAACACAAGAAAATACAGTATGTTCCATTTATGGAGATAGTGCCATAGTTGAGATCACTATTTGTAAGTGGTTTTCTAGGTTCAGAAGTAGAATTTTTTTTCTCTATGCCCAAGAATATTCTAGTAGACCTGTCGATGATGACTAATTGAAATGCTGATTAAAAATAATCCACCTGACATGGGATGGGATGTTGCAGAGATACTCCATATATTTAATATGGGTGCTGTAAAGGTGCCTCATGATTTAATAGAATAAAATTTAATGAATCCACTTTTTAAAAGAATGATCACAAGCAATGAATAACAGATTGTTTACAACAGTATGGAGTGAAAAGAGTCCTGTGGAGAGTGAAATGTTGATCTGCATCTAGAGAAGATGATGCTGTGTATCTAGTGAGACTAGAATTGTATATTACAAGCTCCTGCAAAATCAAACATTGAATTCAGATAAGTACTGTTTTCAATGTTTGAGAATAATAATGTAATAATGTTGAAACTATATATTGCATAAAAGAAAAAAATAGTTTCTCTTTCCAAATGCATAAGAATATACCAATTATTGCTATTAAATATTTATTGTAAAAACAAAAACACTAAATTTTTACAGTGTCCCCCCTGCTTTTCCTCATGCAATCATTTCAGCAACTTAATGCAAAATATGTGAGGTGCTGAAAAGTTCTTAACCCAACCCACTTTCATGACTCTGACCAAATATCCAAATTTTCTTTTTTAATCCCTTCTCAGTTGGGTTGAGAATTTTTTCAGTATGCCTTCAGACAAACCTTTTAAAAAGACTAGAACTCTGAGATTAAGCACAATTGAAGAATACCGTGACACTAAGGGTAGTAGACCCACATAGAAAAGGAAGATGTGATTATATTTTGATCTCATGTGTTTCTGTTTTATAATTGGTGGATAGTTTCTTTGTCTATATTTCTGAGATGAGGTATTATGTACATTATTTACATTATTCAGACTATTGTTCTCATTAAGAACACATGGCACAGTGGATAAAGGCGTTGGTTAGATCCACTGACAGGACCCAAAGAATGTGAGTTCAATACCCGGTTAAGGCAGTCGAGAACTTTCAGAGGGAAATTAACAGGAGATTGATAACTGACATCCATCAAACATGGCATGTGGAACTAGAACAGTCTACCCCAGTGAGCGAAATAAAGGGTTCAGTTCAATATTCCAACCACCTGAAGAAGGCTGGAGTGTACAACGGTCAAAACGTTGTAATAAATATTGCAACAAAGATGAGGACAATAGTCTGAATAATGTAAATAATGAAGTTTCTTTGGAGTTTTCAAAGTGGCATCCACTTTGACTAAGAGGGAAGAGAAGAGTAAATGAATGGATGAAAGCCTTTGGGACCAAGTGACAACAAAACCAGACATTGAGCATATCCAGTTGTTGGTCTGTATTAACAATCATAGTTGGGATCAAGGTGTGTCAGTTCTGGTCCTCCCTTGGTAGTGAGCAGGCTGTCACCCACTTAGTTCTGGAAGCCACATATCATAGATGAGTAAGGGTTGGTAGGAGAGATGAGCTGAGCTGTCAGACTGACCAAGTAAAGCCCTGAATAAAATACTGGCAAACATGGATAAACGTGACCGCAATAAGACAGGGTATCAAAAGAATGGTTTTTCCATGATAATACTTATTTTAACTAAATTCACTCCTAGGCAATGTTTATTGTTTTAAAAAGTGATGATTAGAAGTGTAATGAAACCTAAACATATGAAAGTCAGTTTATAAATGTTCTTGAGAATTTACAACAAAAATAATAAACACTATTTATTTATTAGATTGTTTATTTACACTATTTATTATATTATTAGAATGATTGGCAAAATAACAGCTATATATTTTAATAATTTAGTAAATGTTTTATAAATTTATGAATAAAAAATTGTTTTCACATTTCTTTCTTTATAAATTGGTAAATAGTAAATATTGCATTGCATTAGTTATAATTCAATTGTATTAGTTTTAAGAATGTTGTAAATATGAAATTATTCTTGTAAATAAACAATCTAATAAATAGTGTTTAATATTTTTGTTCTAAATTCTCAAAAACAATAAAAAATGTATAAATTCACTTTCATTATGTATTTAGGTTTTATTCCAACTGTAATCATTGCTTTTCAAAACAAACATTGCTGAAGAGTGATGGTAGTTAAAAAAGCAATGTCATGGGAAAAAACCACCTTTTGACACTGTTTTATTGTGGGCACATTTATCCATGTTTGCCAAAATACTTATATTATTGCCAAGTTCAAGTCATCATTTCCACTTATTCTTTCCTTGTGAACATATAGCAGATCTTTCCGTTTTTGGTGCACACCATTGTGAATGAGAATCGAGACACAATGTCGGATAATCATTGGCTGGTCAGTGGAAAGTTCGGTGAGGGTCTCATATGCTTACAATATGATTTTATAACCTAACATTGCTACATGAACACATTTTATTTTTCTAATAGTAAATTCCAGTAAATAATAAGAATTTCTTATCAAAATTCTGTTCATATAAAGTAAAATCTTTATTGAATGAAAATTCAAATCACAGAACAAAATATATTTTGAAAAATGATTTTATTGAGATTTAAAATGAAATTTATGAAAACAAATACAGTCCAGAATTAAAACAATTGACAAAAATATTTCTCTCCAGTGTGTCTTTAAAATAAAAATTTGAAAACCACAATCCATATGGATATGGTTCTTCATCAATGTCTTCTGACATAACATTTTTTTAAAAAGGAAATTAAAATTCTAAGCCTCACATTTTACAAGAATATAGCTTCCTTCCAGTGTGTTTCTATGTGTAATTTTAAAGTTGAACTCCGTGAAAATGCTGAACCACACATTTCACATAAATAAGGCTTCTCCCCAGTGTGTGTTTGCATATGGCTTTTTAAAGTTGAACTCTGTGAAAAAGCTGATTCACACATATCACAAGAATATGGTTTCTCTCCAGTATGTCTCCTCATGTGTTTTTTAAAATCTGAACTCTGGGAAAATGCTGAACCACAAACTTTACAAGAATGTGGTTTCTCTCCAGTATGTGTTTGTATGTGTATTTTTAAATGATAACTCTGTGAAAATGCTAATCCACACACTTCACAGGAATATGGTCTTTCCCCAGTATGTGTTCTTGCATGCCTTTTTAAACTTGAACTCTGTGAAAATGCCAACCCACATTCATCACATGAATATGGTTTCTCTCCAGTGTGTACTCTCAAGTGTCTTTTTAAATGGGAATTGAGTGAAAAGGAAGAACCGCACACTTCACAAGAATATTGTCTCTTTCTAGCATGTGTTTGAATACGTGTTTTAAAAGATGAGTTCCAAGTAAATGCAGAACTACCTGACTTATAAGAATATCGTTTCTCATCACTTGTTTGTTTACATAAGTTCAAATGAGAACTTCCTTTAACTGACATTTTTTTATAAGAGTATATTTAGATTTTATTCCAGTAATATGAAGTTTCTAAACTCAAATATTTAACTTTATTATATATTTTTCTATTCAACATTTAATTCTTTACAGTTTGAATATGCAATTTTTACATATAGTCAGTTGATGAATTCATTTTTTTCTCCACTGCAGTTGTTATCTGTAAATGAAAAAAAAAAGGGTATTATTAAAAAAATATTCTTAAACATTATTTGTAATATTCATTTTATATTCACTCAGTTTTGGAGAACTTCTGAATATCTCTTCATTTATATTAATTTGTTTTTGATTCATTTGTTTTCTACGGCTTATCAACTCTTTGCAGGTTATTTAAAGTCAGAAAATCATTTTAGATTGTAGGAATTTTGTTTTTGAGATAATGATGATTTAGTGATACAAATCTACCCAATAAATCCTTATCTGGAAGGGAGAATAGGTATTTGCACATAACTAAATATAACAAACCCAACAGAATTGGAAATCTGCTCTCTGATTAACAATTCTGAGTCATTATCCATTACACCATCTGCACACCCAAGCTTACAGCACCTGGTATTCACAAATGGTTACTCATCTAGGTACTAACCAGGCTTGACATCACTTAACTTTGGTGATCATACAAAAACCGGTGTTTCAATTATATATGGCCATAAGCCTTATATTAATTTGTTATGAAAATGAAATTAGAATTTTTTTTTTTTTTCGCAGAAAGGAAAGAAGGAAGAATTAAATATGAGCTGACAGGTTGACCTAGAAATAAATTTTTCCTTAAAAGGCTGAACACGTTAATATACAGGGTAGGGAGGGGTGGATCAGAATTAAAAAAATAGAGTAATATATCTAATGTTCATGTCATTTCAAGCAGCAAAACATCGCATTTTCAAATTAATAATAATATCCAACATCAATAAAGTAAATTAAAATAAAAAATTAAATGATATAAAAAATAAATGAAATAAAACAAGAGATAAATAAAGAACAACATAAAAAATAGATAAGAATAAAAATATTAAAGATAATACTATCAATAATATTAATATAAAATAATATTAATAATTTAAAACTATAAATGATATAGGCAAGACAATAACTTGTATATGACCATATACAAAAATGTGAATACACTTATGCATACATGTTAGTACCCATATAAAACAGAATCAACAAGTGTATATCCCCCAAAGTTAATGTTTTTAGGAAATTTTAAATCTGTTTTTTTTTTCTCTACACTTGAAGATAAGTTTGTTCCTTTGATTCAATAATTGATCAGCATTTCTATATTTAATTACTTAATTTTCACTTTTATGCATAGATTGCATCTGTCCTGGAAGCTGTTGGGAGTCTGAGACTGACAGATGATATTCCATTTAATTTATGGGGTGAAGCCTCCATCTTTATGTTTCCAATAATGTTTGGATAGAGCAGTTTGGTGTCTTAAAGAAGGATTGGAGAAGGAATACCAGTGATTGTAAAGTCTCTGTTTTCAACTCCCAGCAGATATTCCTATCCCTATGTATACTTTTTTATCACTGATATTTTCTTTCGGAAAAATTGTAGCTTGCTATACCATTTTCCGAATTACAGCTACCTTCAAATGAGCAGATAGTTCCAGTTCTACAAGGAGGCTTGTTTTCTTGTGTGTTGCTGTCATAAAATGTTTTTAATAATAGGTTGATGTGTGAGTTAATGATATTATATATGTTGTTAGTGCAAGAATAACTGATTTTTAGAGTTTTTCTATTGAAAATTTTTTGTAGAGGGTTATTATGATTAAAATGTCTGTCGATTAAATTTAGAGAATATTTGCCATTATTTATATCAGATAGTTTACAGAAAGGTGGGTTAAACCATATTGTCTTTCTTTTTCCGGTTTTGGTTTTATTAGTTGTACTGTTTTTCAAAGTTTCCTGATAAAACAATTTTTGTTTGAAATTACTTTTATTGCAGGTTATGTTATAAGTTATTTTATTCTTGTAGAAGATTTTTTGTTAGACTATATATATATATTTTTTCTATGTAGGATGACCATAGTTTATTGTTTTTAATTAATATAGGGTTGTGTAAATATTGAAGTTTTTAAAATTTTGTGATATTTATGAGGAAAGAGTGCTCAATATCAGAGATAGATTGTAGATTTAGACAGAATGGAATTGAGTTTTTTGTTTAAGATGTGAAACTGACAGTATTGCTTCTTATATCTATATTGTCTCTCAATGTCTCTGTATCTCTCTCTATAATGGCTAGCTACTCTTGTTGTCCAAACATACATGTCTGCTAGGGTGGTTAGCCAATCCCTGTTGTAGACATCTGCGCAGGCACATTTGTGTTTGTTAAACACCCACAGAGGCCACTTGTGGTTTATATTACAACTATGCTGAGTGAATTGTATGGTTTCTGGGAGAGATCACATAATCTATGATCAGCAGTTTGAAAATGCCAGTACACTCACACCCTCTGTCACAATAAGTTGTCACTTCCTGCTAGCATAACTATCAATGGTTTCCAAACAGTTCCATCAACCCAATTTCATTCACAAGATCTGGATCGACGTGATATGGTTTTAATCTGTCATGATCAGCAGTTTAAAAATGCCAGTACGCTCACACCCTCTGTCACAATGAGTTGTCATTTCATGCTAGCATAACCATTGATGGCTTCCAAACAGTTCCATCAACCCAATTTCACTCACAAGATCTGGATCAACATGTGATATGGCTTTCAGGGACATTTTCAGGTGCTTCATGCTGTGATTGCCTCTCAAGGACGATAACAACAATAAGTGACATTCCTGACAAATCAAATATGGTGAGATCTCATGGTTGGAAAGAGAAAATTCTAACCACTTGGCCATGTGCTTACTCTCTATCTCTCTCCACACAGAGAGAGAGAGAGAGAGAAATAGAGAAACCTGCACATAAACTGCTTATCTGTTCATTTTCTATACAACAGAATTGTGAAATAGCAAGGGAGAAAACTAATGGGAAAGCAGAAAAATGTGGGGAAGAGAAAACCAGAGAAATATGAAAAGAAACATGGGAATAAGGAAGAGTTGAGAAAGGAGGAAGACAACACATAGGCTCGGTCGCAGTCTCAAGTTTTAACCTTTGATCTTAAGTGTGATGCTCTTTTTTCTTTTACTTTTTTTTAGTCAAACTTGTGTAGGAAGGTGGGTTGATACCGTGGGATTAATATATAGATTTTAGTCACATAATGGTACTAACAAACACTCTAAAGATTTTAGAATTGTTTTTAAGGGAAATTAACTACCTACATACCTAACTGGCAATTCTCATAATTTTCTTAACTTTAAAATATGCAAAGAAAAGTCTTCAAAGATTTTATAGAAGAAAAATAACCTTTAAAAAAGAATTGGTTCACAAAGAGCATATTTTTACTGTGACATTTATTTCATTAATAATTCTTTGTTTAGTTCACCCTAGGAAAATCATGACCAAAGACAATGACATATTCATTTCTAAACAAAACAACAGATATCAATTTTTTAAATTTATCTTTTAAAAAGCTAAATAATTGACAACAATAAACACTTGTGTATTGCTTTTGAGACAAAATTACAGAACATTTTTTTTGCAACCATGACATTTCAGACAGGTAAAAAGTCATAAGAAGAAAAGAAACCGCAATATTTCTGCATCTTTGGTTAACTATCAAATTCTCAATTCTCAACAAGACTTATAATATATTTACTGAAAAATAATATAAGTTAAATAAGAAGGCCATATAGGTGTTTTTTAAAAGTTTGCATAAAAAATATACACAGTCAACATAGACACCATCTATGCTGTCTGTGTATTATTATATGAAGATAGTTTTATGAGGAATTAGATGCTGCAAAAGAATTTTTATTTGTGAAATAATCCCGGATTAGGTTTGTTTGTGTCCTGAATTAACCCTTAAGTGAAGAAAGATCAAAATTAGTCAAGTATTTTAGAATTTATACTAGGGTTTTGTTTTTTTTTTCAGTAGTAAGGCAATCAATATTCAATATTAAGGTACCTCCAATAATTCAGTATACCTAAGATTTAAATGAATTTTCATAAATTAAAAATCTTTCTTGAAGCTTTCATTCTCCAAGAAGTCCTATTTTTAACTAATAAAAAAAAACAAAAAAAACTGGAGGACGAATTTAATTTCTAGAAATTACATGAAATTAAGTAAGTGGAAGATGTAACAGATGTAAAAAAAATATTTTTGCTGAGATTTTTCTAAAGATAATAATTTAAAAAATAAATTAATTCATTTGTGAATAAGTCCTGAAAGTTTCATTAAAATCTGACAATTATTTGATTGTTGCAAAACAGAACTCTCCAAATGTGTTATTTTACCGGAAAACAGGGGCGAAAATTTCCATTACCAGTTCTGTTACACCGTTGACGCATAAAAAAAAAAACAAGATTTTTAACAAAAATTTCGAACGTGTTAGAAAGGAGTAAATAGTTAAAAAAAAATACTTTGTTCTTTCTTCTTAATAATAGCATAAATATTTTTACGATAAAACTTTGTTTTTGTTAAGTTTGGGACTTTTTTCATCATGCTATGCTATTTTTCAGCGAATTATTGGAGGTAACAACAAATGACGAGCAGTCATGTGACCTCTCGAAGACAAAACGAATTATATTTTTATAAAAATAATTATAATTGTATTACATATAAAAAAATAAATAAATAATCAGTTACAATTACATTTAAACTAGTAAAAAAGGAAAACCTTTAAAAAAAAAAGTTTTTCATAAAAAGTTTTTAATGTCAATTTCAATTTTCATCAAAATTGTTATTGATATGGTTTAATAATTAAAACTGTAATTATTATTAATTCGAGAGAGGATTAGGCCTATTTCAAAGTAACCTTACAGAGGATCCCCTAGGGTTCCCGAGTACCCTTAAGGTCCGACTTGATACGAAAAAAAAGTATAAACAATACAAAAAAAAACAACAAAAAAAAAAAAAAACACACACTAATCAATTCAAGTCAACTGTATTCTGTCAATTAATAACTGATTTAAAAATAAAATATTTTCTGTTTTATAATATTACTTTGTTTATGGTACTTAAACTTAATTTTCTGTCTTTATTCCTGGCTATCATAAATTGTGACTTTTTTCATGACTTAAAAAATATCTAATCCTCAAGCCATCAACTCAACATGACTTTTTCAAATTAAATTCCACTTTAACATGTTTTCGTAAACAATTTTTTTTTTTTTGCAATACACAAGTTCATTTATTTTAAAACAATGAACGAGTTAAACTACTTTAACTTACTTATTTATTTCTCTCTCATTTTTGTTAGAATTGTCTCCGGTCGCCTTACCAGAGAAAAAGATGATATGTTCCAAAAATTGGTGTTTCTTAAAGATTAAAATAAAAAAAAGAATAGTGTTTTGTTGTCATCAAAGTTTAAAAAAAGACTTCTTAACCTGAACCTCTTCTTCACTCTTCCAGACTAGCGACTTTTTGGAGGTAGACACTCACGATTAATCAGAAGGTTCAAAGTTTGGGTCAAGCAGTGTGAAAAATGTCATGTACTTCGGCGGAGAGAGAGAAAAAAAAGAATTATAAAACGTAATATCGACAGTGTAATTAATTAAATAATGATTAATAATTAATGTTTAGGTTTGAAATCCAGGTTA